TTGGACATAGTTCGAAAGGTGATTAATCATGATTAATTAATTTTTAAGCTGTGATTAATCTGATTAAAAATTGTAATCATTTGACAGCCCTAGTTTTAAGTAATTGTTAGTTTGCGCATTCTGGGAAACTTAAGGGGCATTTTATTTGTAATCTTTGATCTGATTTTAGGGATTGAAAAGAACTGATGCTGTGAGTCCAAAGTTGATTTTTGAACTAAACTCACCATTCAAGTTTTAAACATTTTTGATAAGAATGTATTTTCCTGTGTCTCCAGGGCGGCCTGCGTGGAGATGACCCCGAGATAACCTTGACCGCCTTCGTCTCGATAGCCCTCACTGAGGCCAAGCAGGCCAGGATCAGCTGCATTGGTTTCATTGAAACGGTATTACCTGCTGAGTTGGTTCCCTGCTGTCTGTTTCCTGTAGATCACTTTTTATCAGGGTGATAGTCATTCTTAAATTCATACATGTCCGTCTGCTGTAGGTCATTTTCAATAAGACAGCTGAATACCTGAAGAGAGCGCTGGAGACGCCGGGCAGGAGGCCGTACACTGTGGCCATCGCCTCCTACGCACTGGCTCTGCTGGGGAAAGATCAAAACTACAACCCGACACAATCTTTACTCAGGGCTGCAGCTCCAGGTAGCTCATACACTCACACATGCTACACTTGTACATTATGAAGGATCCTACCTTTGGAGAGATCCATCTTACGGCATAACCCTAAGACTTCAGTGCCAAATTGTCACTCAAAGAGATTCCCACAAAACAACAACAAAGGCTTAACATAACAAGACTGCGTATCTTGCTTTATTGGTGTGTTTGCAACGGACACGAGCACATTTATTTTGCGGCTTAATAACCTGTAAAGTCAATGCGAAGACACCGTTCACACTGGGTCGTTGAATGACATGGCGCGAGTTAACACAAGGGAGAAATTCCTATGAGGCCGTCTCGTGAAAGCCAATCAGTGGTGAGAATCTCAGCCTTTCGTCCCTGACGTGGAATCAGAAAATCAAAACAAAGTATCAGCTGTTAGCTCTGAGCAACAGCACACAGAGCCCAACAGTACTTCATATCTGTTCAGAAATTGGAGAAAAATCATGGTATCGAAATACATATGGCAAGGCAAATTAATTTGATGCTTTATTCATGTCTGTATGACGTTATTTTGAGTGTGGATGACAGCAGCCTAATTGATCAAATCTCCAACACACATTTTAAACGTTTTTGCCTGCCGTAGATATGCCAAAGCATTAATTCATGCTTTTACTTATCAGTGTTTAGTTATTTCGGCATCATTTTTAAACGTGTATTACAATTTAAATCACGGCAAAACAAGTGTAGTTGTTGATATCTTCATGGAGATAAGCCCCGCCATCTCTTAAGTGTGTCTATCTAGTGACTGGAGTAAACATAAATGTTGCCACAGTCAAACTTGTGCAGATTAGTAGTCTGGTTGTCTGTGCCCATTGTTCATATGATGTTATTTTCAATGAAATGTTACCTCTTTATTCATTCATTTTATTACATTTTTGTTCTCTTTCGCTGACACAGTGCTCCTGTTTTGCATTCCCCCTTCACTGTGTCCTGTCTCCGGCAGGTGGCAGCCACTGGCCCGACACTAAGAACACCTTGTTCACCTTGGAGGGGACCGGCTACGCCCTGCTGGCTCTGGTCAAGCTGGGACGCATGGCGGAAGCTGCAGCGCCGTTTAAATGGCTGAACAGCCAGCGGAGGAGAGGAGGGGGCTTCGGCTCCACTCAGGTAACAGCAGGAGAGTTTGGTGTGATCTGCAAATCCAATTTCTTGTTCCGCTTAATTGATCTGCTCCGGTCTTTGATAACTGCATCCAGTTTATTTTGCCTTGCTCATTTATATCAAAGTCAACTTTATTGTCAATCTTTCAGTTTGTGTGTACAGACAGAGAGATCAAAATACCGTTTCCCACAATCCCGAGTACAATAAAAAAAAAAATATATATATAGGCTATATATATCAACAGACACATTTTTCCACATATGCACACATTTAACACATAAATAAAAAGCCCGACAATCAATATATTCAAAAATACTCACTTCAATAACTTTAATATCCATTGAGAAATAAGAGAAACACCTCTCTGGATAATGCTAAATACGCCAACAGCAAAATAAAATAGAGCCACCAAATTCCTACAGCTGAATCAACACCTTTTTAAAACGGACACAAATCACAAAAACAGAGGATTATAATCTTCATGGTTTTGATCGTTGGGGTTATTTTTTACAGCATTTACTGCTGGGTAGTTTGTGAGTTTCAACAAGGGTTCAATGAAGTTTATCAAACCTAATAGCTTAACAATAGTATTAAAAAAGTCTTCAAGATTCATTGGAGTAGAAGTATGAAGTCAAGCAAATATACCTAGAAATTGTACTTAAGTTCAGTGCTTGAGTAAATATCCTGAGTTCCCTTCGACCACTGTGACCCAACAAACAAGATCAGATTGACTGTTTTGATTTTAGACTTCACTCTGCTTGGTGAATAATATGATGGCCATTTTTGTATGAGGTATCTTAAAGTAAATATCTTCTAAAAGTAAAAGAATACAAAAATCAAATGAAGTGACCAACACTTATTGGCTTTGGGTTTCTCACTCACTGAAATATCCAACACTAATGATTACAAAATAACATAAGAAAATTCGATTTATCAATGTTAGAAGATGTCGTTACTCCAAATGTGGAACATTTGTCTAATTAAATTCCTCTCTTCTCTATCCTGTCCCAGTCCACCATGGTGGTGCTGCAGGCTCTGTCTGAGTACCTGATCCACAAACCTCCTCCTGCTGACCTCATTCTGGACGTGGACGTCAAGATGAGAGGACGAAGGGAAATCCGTTACCATTTCAACCCCGAGAATTCCTACGCTGCTCGCTCCTCCAGGGTGAGAGACATGAAACTACATGTTAAACCAGGAAGGTTCACGAGTAGAAGAAACTGAGTGTATCAAGGTGTTCTCTGTTGATGTTTAACACGGCTCACAGTTCATGTTAATCACATTTGAGGACCTTTTAGGATTTGGGTTGGCCAAAACAAGAGATGTATTTTTCATGAACTTCACATTTCTTCTTCTGTGCTCTTTTCCGTAGCTGCCTGCTGGTCTGGATTTGGAAGTGGAGGCTCGAGGGAATGGACAGGGAATACTGGAGGTTATGATCACATGTTATTATGTTATTTTAAACATAGAATCCCATATGTATAATCAATAATAAAACATTTCAATTCTAAGCGCCTTTTCCAGGTGCTCAAAGACACTTTACAGTGGTGATAAAAAGGAAATACAATACAATTAAAACTTCAAAACAGCAACACAATGAATGTAATCATTGGTACAATCACATGGCCAAAACTGCCAAACAAAACTGCCAAACACAATACAGAAATACAGAAGGATTTAATTTCAAATTATCCTTCTTTTTCTTTTTCCATTTTGTATTATTTGTAACTTTTGTTTTCCTTGTGTTTCTCCAGGTTGTGACTTATTACAACCAGCTGCATGAGGTCGATGAGAAAATGCCCTGCAAAGATTTTGAGCTCAAAGTCAACATCGAAGAGTCCAGCGGTAACTCAATATATTTTCAATTCAATAAAACAACATACTGTAGCATACCCACATGCAGTATATTATCAGGTACACATAAACCCACTACTAGCCAACCCAACTCCAGACCATCAAATGTTTTGTTTATATCCTGTCCCAGAAAAACCTCCAGCAGATGTAGAGAAGTCCTACCAGATCACCATCAAAGTGAGGTGAGTTTTTGTAACGTCTTCACCTTCTCACCTTTGCTCAAATTAAACAAGTTGAACAAAACACTAATTACCCTTTGATTGGTTTGTTTCTCCCCCACAGGGCTTTAGGACCCAGAGATGTCCGGATGGTGGTTCTGGATGTCAGTCTGCCAACCGGCTTCACTCCAGAAAACTCCGACCTGGAGATGGTAAGCTGCCTTCAGACCATCCAGTTTAAAGTGTTGAGTGTATTTCCAAATATGAAACATTCTTAGAAAAATGTAATAGGAAAGTTAAAGCCAAAAGAGATGCTTAATAATTTCAATGCAGAGTTTTTTGCTTATAACTTGGAAAAACATGAAGTGATGTGTCTGACATAAATAGTAATCTCCCATGTTCACAAGACACCACATACACTGAACAAAAATATAAACGCAACTTTTGTTTTTGCTCCCATTTTCTACATACACAAAATAACCATTTCTCTCAAATATTGTTCATAAATCTGAAAAAATCTGTGATAGTGAGCACTTCTCCTTTGCCGAGATAATCCATCCCACCTCACAGGTGTGGCATATCAAGATGCTGATTAGACAGCATGATTATTGCACAGGTGTGCCTTAGGCTGGCCACAAT